AGAAAAAGTCTTACAGCTGACAAAGGATGGCTGGATTTTCTCACATGCTGTGTGTTTGAGAGTATTTTATCTATGTAAAAATGCATGTAAACTTGGTAAGGATAATTTACTGTGCAAGCTTTATTTTTATTACATAAATGTGTGGCTGGATAAACACTTGGCCTCCTCTATGAATATTGTTGGCTCCTTACTAAGAAAAATCCTWGATCCRCCACTGTGATGTCCAAATATGAAAACCACAGCATTAAAGTGTCAAATACAAATATAATATGTACATCCTCAGCTTTGAATTTAAACACCTCGCCCATCAGACCAGACGGGTCCTCCTTGCGTCCGAAAGTGGCCCACCGGCCTCCATTGATGATTGCTTTTTTTTTATACTTTCCTTTTAGCGTCTTAAAAATATTTTGTAAAGGGTGGAATGGGGTGAATACAGCCTAACGGATAAAGCTTGTGATAAACAGATTGTGAGGGAATATTCTGATGTGAAGACTTCTCTGGGATTAATCCGTAAATCCACTCAGTGTTGCAGATAAAGCTTGTTTTATTTAAAACAAAAGATATTTGCCATTGTTTGTTTGTTTTTTTCCCAGAGTTTACTGGACCTACCCGCAGCTCAGTGTCCGTGACGCACGTCCCTGCGCGCACCAAGTAACTCACCGCTCATGTTGATGTTCTGCTCGCAGGAGAACCAGATGCCGGTGTGAAACTTCCTCATCACGTACTTGTCCTCGCCGGTCTCCCAGATGTACTGCACCAGGCGCGTGTCGTTGACGTTGGAGCTGTTGAACATGATGCAGAACGACTGCTTGGTGGTGACCGGGCCGGAGCAGAACGGCTTCACCACTTTGCGCGTGCCCTCGCACCAGTAGCTGGTGGTGAGCGCCGACACCGCCAGGAACAGCGCGAGGAAGTTCAAGCTGAGAGCCAGGGAGGCTCTCCGCCGGCGGTCTATGCCCATGCTGGTGATGGCAGAGCGGTGGGACGGGCTCCTGGCACTTAATCCCGCGTGACACCGGATTCAGGCCACTTCTTATTCTCCCCAGACCCACATAATCCGGTTAATGTGTCCCGCCGCTAATTAACGCGTGTGGCTCCGACCGCGCGTGCCTCTCAACTGATGCTCTCTCTCTCTCTCTCTCTCTCTCTCTCTCTCTCTCTCTCTCTCTCTCTCTC